AGGGATTTCTGGTTTGGAGGTGATACTCTACAAACTCGATTTCCACATCTCTACTGGTTAGAATCGATTAAAACATGCAAGCTCATGGACAAATATCTGGTACATAATTTGATGAAGGACAAAAAATTATGATTGTAAAGTAACTGAACAGAGAAGAATGATAAGGAAGAAGATGATATAATACTTAAAAGATAAACACAGTCAATTGATTGTTCCATGGGTAACCCCTCTCTCACAGCCACAAGGCTTAGAGCCGATACAAACTATATCAAAATATCAAAAGTTTAGACAACTAACAAATGAAATCATCTTTCTCTCTCTCTCTCTCTCTCTCTCTATATATATATATATATATATATATATATATATATATATATATATATATATATATAACAAATTCTAGCCATATTCCTGATTTACTCTTTTACTTCTTCTAGATTATGCCTGTAGCAACTTTGGTTCATTTGCCCTTTTAATTACCATATTATGATCTGTATCAGGATTTATCTGGAAATGGAAAACGGAGAGATTTGATGATGCAACATGCACATAACTTCATGAAGTTTATTCTCTGATCTGCTCAACGAATTTTAGTTATGACAAAAACATTGGATTTTGTTTCAATCAATAGTCCTAATGGAAATTATTCAGTTGGCATAACGAAGAAGTTGATATAGGCACACCTTATTTAATACACCGGTCAGTCTAGTCCATAAGTTGGTCGAATTTTATCCCTCCAAAGGTTAGGTGCTTTGTATGGAGAGCAGGTAGAATCCCAGTTGTCATGAATCTTAAATGCATGGCCATAAACGTCCAAGATGTTAATTGTCAACTATGTAATCAAAGTCCGGAAACAGTAAACCATTTATTGCCTGGTTGTGATTTTGCAAAAGAGGTGCAATCTTGGATTTTCAAATGGTGCGGAATGCAGTGAACACATTTCACAACTATGCGAGAATTTGTTGACTTTGTTGAATCATGAGGAAACTGTACAAGAAAAAAAACAGGTTGTCACTGTGATCTTTTACTCGATTCTTTGGAACATATGGATGACAAGGAATGACAAAATTTTCAATAAAAATACGTATCCCCAACAAAAACAAAGAACTTCATCATTCTATAGTCATATGAGTGGTGCAAGCACATACGTAAACATGGCTACGGAAGTTGGACGAATTGGAGTTGCACCTCGTTTACTCATCTAACTATGTAATCTTTTGCGGTCTCGTTTACTCATCTAACTATGTAATCTTTTACGGTTCTGTTTTCTTATATTTAACCTTTTCTATCTGAATCAGATGTTTCTTAGTGAGTCAGATGCGTAAATTTGAACTGCCAAACACGTTTTGCTGACCGAGTCAGCCAAAAGCGTTTGAGCTGACTCGGCCATACTAGTATCAAACACCTTCTTCCGAGTTTTGGGTTTTGTTTTATATATTATCTGCATTTTCAAAAAAAGAAAAAAAAAATCATGTTTAATAAATTGGTTACTTAAGTCCTTAATTTATATAAAACTTCTTCTTCTTATTATTTTTAAATCGACCAATATACCCCTTTGCCTAATAAAACCTAACTCATTATGCTTACGGCCTCTCGCTATCTGCTCCTCACGTAACTCTTCCTTCTCGCCGTCGCCTCCCTTGTGAAGCCACCGGTCGGAGACCTTCGATAGCCACAACTCCGTCACACCCAACCCCAGGTTCCATTTTTCTTCCTTCTTTTCTGCTTTCTTTCTTTAGTCCTTTTTTCTGTTTCTTTGAACCTGCCACTTGATGTTGTTGGTCGATTTCTATTTATCCAAAATGTTTTCTTTTCCGTGATTTCCTTCTTCGCATACGAAATTTTTGTAGATTTTTTTTTAATACCAATCGGCAAGTTCAAGTTCTTCTCTGGAATTCTGTTATTTGATTTCTTACTTTTGGTGATAATTGGTTTGCAATCTGTTTGCTGCTACTGATTTGCTACTTGTTTGCTGCCACTGATTTGCTAGTTGTGTTCGATGTTCAAATATATGAAATCTGATGTGTACAGTGTCCTGTAAAAGAGGGAATGTGTTTGCAGGCAAGCTGTTTGATGAAATGCCTGAGAGGAGGGATAGTACTTTATTAATATGTATGTTTCACATATCAGTTATAATATACATGTTTTAATTTTTAACTTTTAATTTTGGATGTTGGTAACTTGGGAATGAACAATAGATGCCTAATTGCTTACTGATTTCCTCCTAGTGTATTATTTCTTGTATACCTGCTATTGTTTCATTACTAAGCTGTTAGTCATTTATACATGCAGGAGCAAATTGCAATGGGTGATACTAGCCAATCTGAATTCAAGCCTCCACCAGAATTTCAGGATGATGCTAGAGCTCCTATAGTTGAACCAAATGCATCAGATTCTACTGAACTATGGCTCATACAATGGCCTAAAGATCAGGTAAGATGCATCCTCCTTGTGGTTTTTCATTAAGCCATATCTAGTCAATGAAGTTTTTGTAATTTCCAGTTGAGCAAATGGTTTGTTGGTTGGCACTGCAGGTTCCTGATTTTGATGGGCAACAAATCTCATTGAACCTGAACAATGATGATGGGCAGTTGGGCAGTTTTGAAGCTTCATCTGGTGAGCATAAGTTTAACCTTTCTTTCTAATATCCTGCAGATTGTGCAATGTACATCAAGTTTATTTGATATGCAAGAATGTTTGTTCACACTCAAGTGTCATCAATCTTTATCACTTCTTTTGTCCATATTTTCATCTTGTCAGGAAAGTCATATGATGTTGTCAGCCTTGCAGCACAGGAACCAAAAGCCATGGTCTTTATATCTTCTGCAACAGATTCAAAAATTGGTATTCTTTGCAAACTTAAAACTGCTATACACAATGTAACTTTTCACCATATTTTTCCTACTTAAAAGTGGTGAGGTGATGTTGCAACTTCAGTGGAATTGATATGATTTGTTTATTAAATTATTATGTTTGACAGTTGGTAAGATTACAAGGCGAGTTTCATTTGTTCGTTATCTGGAGGCTGATGAGGTGCCAAAAGATGATACAAAGAAGCTTAAACAGATGTACGAAAGGTCAAATGCAACTTCATTGACTAATTCTGGTCATCAGTTTTCAACTCCTGCAAAGAGTACAAGAACAAAAGGAACTCATAGCAGTGGGCATAGAAGCTCTCTTTCTGAAGAAAAAAAGCATCGATCAAATTCAAAGGATTTGAATTCCAGCATGTCTTTGCAGGATTCGGATCATTCTCAAGAGAAGAAATCGAAAAAGAGAAAGAAACATGTGGCTTAAAGTATATTATATGTTGGATTTTGTTTATTTCTTTCACCTTGTAAGACCATTTTAATGGGGGTAACAGCTAAAATTTTGGAGATCCTCTGGTCATGTATTATTTATATACATGTGAACAACATTTCTTTGGCTATTGTAGTTCATGACTCACAAAAATGGTTGTGCTCGGACAATTTTGTCAGCTTTTTTTTTCATTACTCATATTTGATGTTGTTGTTCATATTTTGGTTTTCTTTTATTACCTTTTTGACAGAATGAGACAAGAGTGGGGTGGAGCATAAAAAAAAAATTATGGTTGCTAAATAGTGTACTCTTTGCTATTGAGTCAGAATGATTCCATAAATGATGTATTAGATTTAAAAAAAATTAAACAGAAGGATGCTAAATTAAATAGTAATATATAATTCTAGAGTAAAAGTAATATATAATTTAATTTCTCTAATAATATTATTCCATAAAGTGATAAAGGTTTCAATCTTATGAGGGAGGGTCTTCCAATGTTAGATTTAGTCATTTACTTTTAGTTGGTCAAATTTAGGAACATTATAAAATTCACGTGATTCATATTAGAAACAAAATAAGATAAAACAAATATACATGAAAATTTTGGAAAACGTGGAATAAAACATGGAATATAGAGCTCGAGATGATGAATTGATTACATTTGATTTGACCGGTTGGTATTTTTATGGGTACTTCGCAATCTCAATTCCTGATAGATTGAAGATCACATCCATTTTTTAATTTGTATTTTTTTCATATGAATCGGTCAATTCTGTTTTTATCAACAACATGATTTTCATAAATTTTAAACTATATTTTGCAACATGTTATACTGACGTTTTTTTAAGTTTGTTTGAAAGTGATTATAAAAATACATCATATGTTAAGATGAATGTGATGGATGATGATCCGATCACCATGACACCATCACACATATTTGACTAGATTGTATTAGTAGGATTATTCCAAATCTATTTTCAGTGCAGTATTAAAGAAAAAAAAAACATCTCAAAGACATAAAAATAGCTAAATTCTTTACAAAATTCCATTAATTTAAATATAGTTTTAGGAAACATTGTAATATATTATAAATATTTATGATAACATAAAGAACTAGTAAAAAACACCTTTAACACATAAAATTTTTGGTCTCCTTAAAAAAAGGATCGAGAGTAGCCACTGGCCCGGTCATGTGTATCAATCGGGAGAGATATTAAAAGCTTCATTATTGTATAGAGTATGTTGAACAATAAACTTTCGAAAGCTCTTAAGATTTTATATAATTTACATATTTCAAACGCTTTTGGTTAATAATAAATACTCGTGATTCTCATTTTCAACTTCCAAATAATTTTACCACTTAATACTCTTCTTATCTTTAGGGTATTTTTCCAACAACTTCCGATGTCTTTACCGTCTAGTTTTCGAGTTTTAGCAAAAAAAAAGCTTTTTAAATTGGAGGTTCGAGTTCTAATCCAAGTGTTGACGATTTTGTAATACTAACTTCTAACCACTAATTCTGTTATTAAAATAAAAAGTAAGGAGAGAAAATACAAAAAAAACAAAAATAAAATAAATTTATATTTTAGAAAAAAAAAAATTAAACCTCTTATTTATTTCTCTCTAAAATCCTTCTAAATTAAAAACAAAGTTAAAAAGAAATTTGTTCCTTCCATTCTTTTACTATCTTCTTAATTTCTATCTATTTTCCTTTTTAGCCCATGCTATATACAAATAAAAGGAAAATGACATTTAGAAGAGGTGGAAGACTTGGAAGCAGCCAAGGGACTTGGCCATGGCCTTTTTCTGGAATACCACCACAGGTTCTCCTTTTGGAGGCCTAGTCATTGCTTGATTCTCTATTTCTAAGCTCGCCGCACCCACTCATACGCATCTCATTAAGCCCTAACCTAAACCCTTCAAACCGTCTTCTCTATACTTGGTATGACATTCAATCTCATGATCTGTGATTCTTTCATTTCATTTAATTTCCTCGCTTTAATCTCATGTTAAATATGCTGAAATTAGTTGAAATCTAACATTTTGATGGAGGTCTGTTAAGAATGACGATCTGAACGAACATCTCAATTCAATTAGAATTCTTATGCAACAGTAATCGTTAATCATTGCTGTATTTCATTCACGCGCTAGAATATACGGTGCATGCTTTACACGTGTTTCTATTATTCATCATTGTTCATATTGGTAAACGATTTACGACTGGTTGTCCAATTTGGTAATTCAACACATATATCATGGTACTTGCAGGTTCTTCATAGACTTCTGTTAGAGTTTCATAAAAGAAGCTCTCGTCTCTAATCAGATCCTTAACGATTTCAGTTTTAGCAGGGAGAGCTAAGCCACCTAGTTAGCTCTCTCAGCTTATTACAACACCTCAGGGTTAGTTAATTTAGTGGGTTTCTAGCAGCAAACAATCAATCTGTTTCAATGGCAGCAGCTACACACTTGTGTGGAATCAAAACTCCTTATTGTTTTTCAAAGAAGGCTCTGCATTCCCAATCTTTGTGCTCACAGAAGAGACTCAATTTTGATCTGCTCACTGAATCGTGTGAGACATTAAGAGTTTCATATCCAAGCAAGGGAAGAGGAGGACTAAGGGTTGTTTGTGATGCGAGAAAGAATGATGTTTTGGTACAAAGTGAAGCCAAAAGTCAAGGTTTGGAAGAATCAATTAACCAGCTATCATGTGTGATGAAGTTTGGTGGATCTTCAGTAGCCTCAGCAGATAGGATGAAAGAGATAGCTGAACTCATCCTCAGTTTTCCAGAAGAGAATCCTGTGATTGTCCTTTCTGCTATGGGGAAGACTACCAACAAGCTTATAGTGGTTTGTGCAACAATTAGTTGATATCTTAGCTGTATCTTCAAGAAATTTTAATGTTAAATCTGTGTTGTATTATATAGGCTGGAGAAAAGGCTGCAAGCTGTGTTTCTGATGTTTCTGAAATCAATGAGCTGAGCTTTGTGAAAGAACTGCACTACAGGTGAGTATTAGCATCATAAAAAGATTATAGACATTAGTTTATGCTGATTGAGTGTTAATGTGTGTACTCAGGACAATGGATGAGCTTGGATTAGACAAATCACTCATAACAGGTCTGCCTCCAATTAATGGAAGAATAAGACTGTTCTATGCTTTTGAAAGATTTTTCAGGTCTTGTTTTCTAATTTCATATATTTTTGCAGACCACATAGAAAAATTAGAGAGACTTCTGAATGGGATTGCTGTACTTAAAGATATGACTCCACGTGCAAGAGACTACTTAGTGTCATTTGGGGAATGCATGTCCACAAGAATATTTGCAGCATACTTGAATAAAATTGGTGTCAAATCTCGCCAAGTATGTGGTTTCTTAATTACTTGCATTCATATGAGTAAATTACTAGTCTACCAGTTGTGGTTTATACCTTCCAAACTCTCCTCCATATTGTATTTATATCTGAAAACCCATTTTTGCCCCCATTGCCTTCTTGTTGAAACAAGTACAAAGGTCTGTGTATATGCTTTGCCTTATGTGTAGCCAAATTCCTTTTTTGTTGTCTCTACCTTTTTAGGATCAAGTTTATGTCATCATTTAGCAACCGAATATTTCTTATGTGCTCATTTATTCACTTTTCTCAAGGTGTAACTACTTCACAAAAGAGGGATTTCTCTTCTCCCCTCTACCCCCGTATAAGTACTATGTTGCAACAAACTAATCAAGTAAAATACCTAAATTACCCCACCACTAATAAGATGGTTTGGTTCTTAATATTGTTAGAAGAGGCTTTCAACCGAATGCAAAAACATATTATGACTTATTGTTTTTGTTTCTTGTTGCAGTATGATGCATTTGATATTGGGTTCATAACAACTGATGACTTTACAAATGCGGATATTCTAGAAGCAACGTATCCAGCTGTAGCAAATAAACTACACAGTGATTGGAACAATGATCCTGCAATCCCTATTGTTACTGGCTTCCTTGGAAAGGTATTTTTTACTTTTTTACATCATCTCAAATTTCATTAACAACACCTACTGTAAACATGATTCTACAAAATAACAAAATTTTAATTGCAGGGTTGCAGAACTTGTGCAATCACTACATTAGGCAGAGGTGGTAGTGATTTGACTGCTACAACCATTGGTAAAGGATTAGGCTTGCGAGAAATTCAGGTCAGTAAATAACTTCTTGTATTTTCCCATGGAAATTAATTAATTAATTTTTTTTTTTTAACTTTATATGTTTGTTCCTTATCCTTATATATATATATATATATATATATATATATATATATATATATATATATATATATATATATATAATATAACCAGGTGTGGAAAGATGTAGATGGTGTTTTGACATGTGATCCCAACATATATCCAGGTGCAGAACCTGTGCCTTATTTAACTTTTGATGAGGCTGCTGAACTTGCATATTTTGGTGCTCAGGTAGCATAAAAGTAAATTATTAATTTTTCATTTTTTATTCTATCTAATCTCCATGTGGATCTTACTTATTTTTCTCTGTTTTGTTTTCATATATGTATAGGTTCTTCATCCACAGTCTATGAGGCCTGCAAGAGAAGGTGATATTCCAGTTAGGGTTAAAAATTCTTACAACCCTAATGCTCCAGGTACCCTAATCACTAAATCAAGAGATATGTCAAAGGTCAGTAGCTAAATTATACCACTGGAATTTTTTATTTTATTTTTTTAATTTCACAAATTGTAAAACAACTTTGAATTTCAGGCGATACTGACTAGCATTGTTTTGAAACGTAATGTGACCATGTTGGATATTGTTAGCACTCGTATGCTTGGTCAATTTGGATTCCTAGCTAAGGTAAAAAAAGAAAAAGGAATATGATTTAATTTCTTTATTTATTTAGCAGACTGATGTAACTTTTAAGTTATGATTTAGGTATTTTCAACTTTTGAAGATTTGGGTATTTCGGTTGATGTTGTAGCCACTAGTGAAGTTAGTATTTCTTTAACATTGGATCCTTCAAAGCTTTGGAGCAGGGAGTTGATTCAACAGGCAAGCGTTTCATATCATTCTCCATTGTTTGACAATGAAAAATCTTTTTGTAATAAGTGAATCAATCTTTGTACTTTTTTAATCAGGAACTTGATAATGTTGTTGAAGAACTTGAAAAAATTGCTAAAGTGAATCTCCTTCAACACCGATCAATTATTTCACTGATTGGGAATGTTCAGAGGTCATCACTTATATTGGAGAAGGTACTGGCTTGTTTTGTTTTCCTCTTCTATTTTGACTTTTTATAAATCTTGGGTTGCGGGTCAAAAATTTACAAATTTGTCCTATTGACATTATTGGTCTTGGTCCTAGTCAAATGTGCAATTTTTATATTGTATTTGTTTTTTATAATGTAAGGTATTTCATGTTCTTCGTACAAATGGAGTGAATGTTCAAATGATATCTCAAGGAGCATCGAAGGTGAATATATCGTTGATAGTTAATGACAGTGAGTCGGAAAAATGTGTGAGGGCTCTCCATTCGGCTTTCTTTGAGACTGATCTTGCTGTTGCTGACCTGGTCAACCACAATGGAAATGGAAATGGAACTTAAACCCTAAAATGCACTAGTAACTAACTGATATATCATTGGCTTGATTTTAGGGATTCTATTATGTAATAGAGGTATTCAGAATGGTCACATACCATGACTCCATGGAGGGCTATGTATTTATTGTAAGCAATCCCAAATAATGAATCCTTGCTTGATTTTAGGGCTTCTTTCTATGGACAATTTTTACTTTTTGTAATGTTTGGATTTCTTCAGTGCTCTTTAATGACTTCTAGCTAAGGGTAAATTACGCCAAATAGTAACTTATATTTTATAATAATTTTAGACAAGGTGTCTCCTATAAATCCCAGAATTTGTAACAATCTAGGCTCCGTGTTACAATAAATTAAAACTTAAAATACAACTTAATAAATTAAAACATGACTTAATACCTAAAACCATGATTCAATACATAAAATAAAAGTAGGGCTTTATATAGTCCACACGTAGCAAAACTTGAAATTGAATACACTTTGCCAATAACAAAACTTGAAATTGAATACACTTTGCCAATTAAATAATTATAATGCCGCTTTTTGAATAATTCCCGTCACTGTTTCGTATTTCATTTAATTTTCACTTTGAATTCTTATTCGAGGTTAGTGTATTTTTTCTATTGTCTTAATTACTCAATTATTTGTTTTTATTTTCATCATAGACAATTCTTAGTTTACTTACTTCTTATCAAGGTTTTCATTGATTTTGTATTTTTATTGTAGGTTTATAATAAATCAAGTTATTACTTGTTGCTATGAATTAATTATTTGTATCATTGTATTACATATAAGTTTTTCTTGTATAATTTTTTTTTGTGATTAGTGAATTTTGTTGAGCAATAAGAGATAACGCTAAGCTTTTCGGTATAGATTCAATTTTAAATGATTTTAATGATGTAAAATTGCGTCGTGTGCAATTTAAATGAACATTTTACTTTAAAATGCATATATTGTTATATTTTGTTATCATTTAAAATATTTTGCTACTTGTTCATATTTTCAAAATTATTTGGTCTACATTAAAATAAAATCATGGCTACGCCACTGCTTGTGCGGTACCTGCAAACATTAGTGAATCAGAGTAGGTGCCATATGCTAACGTACGAAAGACAGTTGTATATTTTTTAATTGGATCAAAGTCTAATATACCTCTTGTGTCTAGGCATTGTCGGGTATAATCAGACGCTCCCATCACACATTCAACAATACACATAAACAAATCTTTATGCATTCATAGTTGCCACCAGAAATAATATTCCTTAAAAAGAGACCATGTTCATCAAAAATAATTATACATTAGACGTTGGTAGGATGCTTCACATTCTCTTTAGATATATCTTCTTGGTTTACGTTGCACAATGCTCGCTTCCTAGTCGGTACTGTAAACAGAATGATTAGATTAGTTTTAATCTATACTTATCTTCATATCCTGTATGTGTTTAAGATCCGTTTATTGTGGATCTCATATTGTAATCCTTGGTTATATATATAATACTAAAATCCCACAGGATCCTTCAAGCCAAATACCTTTTTCTTCTTGGTATCAGAGCCACGACTTTAGGGCTCCGATTTTCTTCCCCTCATCGACCTAACCCTTGATCACCTCCTCTGATCAGGTTGTCTTTCAATGGCTACTGAAACTACGTTTATCAATTCGTCCAAGATAGCTACTGCTGTAACGTGCAAACTCAGTCGCACGAACTATCTTCTCTGGAAGGCGCAGGTTGTTCCAATTCTGCGTGGAGTAAAACTGTTTGGCTATCTTGATGGGTCCACTGCTGCGCCTCCAACCAAAATCACCGTTGGCATAGGTGATGCTGCCAAACAGGAAGACAATCCCGCATATGAAGTGTGGATTACTCAAGATCAAGCCATCCTTGGGGGCTTGTTATCTTCAATGACCGAAGATGTTCTTTCACAACTAACCAGATGTGCAGATACCTCAAATCAGTTGTGGACCGCCTTGCAAACTATGTTTTCTGCTCAACACAGAGGTAATTCTATTCAAATCAGAACTCAATTGTCAAACACAAAAAAGGGCGACTTGTCTGCCTCTGAATATTATCAAAAGATGACTGCTTTAGCCGATACTATGGCCAATATTGGGCACCCGATGACAGATGAAGAAGTGATTGGTTATATCCTAGCCGGGTTAGGACCTGGACATGGCGATTTGTTCACCGCCATAACCGTTCTTAGCAATCAGCAGGAGGTAAAGTTATCTGAGTTCTATTCGTATCTTGTTGCACATGAAGCTCAAAGCATTGCTATGAATGGTCCTTCCGATTTTGTGTCCTCTGCCAATACTGCCACTAAACAGGAAACTTCCAACAATCGCAAAAGTCAAAATAGCAGTACCTATAACAACTCAAACAATAGCAATTCTCGGTCAAATTATCGAAACACTGGATATCGTGGCAGGGGGCGTGGCCGAGGCAGATACGGTGGGGGTCCAAGATGTCAAGTGTGTGGCATACCCGGACACATTGCCCTGAACTGTCGTAATCGATTCAATCATGCATACCAGAATGAGGACTACAGAAGTGGTAATAGTGCAACATATGGCCGCTACAATGGATACAATGGCAACTACAACAATGACCCAAATTGGTACCTTGACACAGGTGCCACCGATCATCTCACAAGCGACCTAGACCGGCTATCCATACCCGAAAGATATCATGGTAAAGACCAAGTTCAAGTCGCCAATGGCACAGGTTTGCATATCTCTCATGTTGGTCACTCTAAAATTCACAGTCTAGGTCGACCTCTTGTTCTTAAAAACGTCCTTCGTGTCCCACATATTAACAAAAATTTGCTTTCAGCCGATAAACTTGTCAATGATAATAATGTGTTTATTGAACTCTTTCCCAATGTTTTCTTTGTTAAGGACATAATCACGAAGAAAATCCTCCTAATCGGTAAAAGCAAAAGAGGTCTCTACCCGGTGCCAATTCGCCACTCTTCACACTATGCCGGGTCTAGCACTAAAGTTCCGTTTTCACAGTGGCACCAACGTCTCGGTCACCCTCATTCAGAAGTTGTCAAGTCTATTTTGAAGTCCAAAAATTTAGGTGTTTCCTTTAATAAGTCTTTAGTTTGTGATGCATGTCAACGTGCTAAGAGTCATCAGTTGTCATATAAAAACTCTGTTCATGTCACCACCTCTCCACTTGAGCTTATTCACACAGATGTTTGGGGGCCGGCTCAAGTGTCAAGTGGTGGTTTTAAATATTATGTTAGTTTTCTAGATGATTACAGTCGTTACACTTGGATTTATCTTATTAAAAGCAAATCTGATGTTGAACAAGTATTTTATAATTTCCAAACTCATGTTGAACGTCTCCTTAACACCAAAATTCGTACAGTTCAATCCGATTGGGGAGGTGAGTACCATAGACTGCATAAATATTTTCAAACTTGTGGTATTGCTCATCGTGTGTCATGTCCACATACGTCACAACAAAATGGCATAGCTGAACGTAAACATCGTCATATAGTTGAAACTGGCCTGGCCCTATTAGCTCATTCTTCTCTACCTCTTCGCTTTTGGGATGAAGCATTTTTGACAGCATGTTATTTAATAAATCGAATGCCCAGTCATATTATTAAAAATTCCACCCCCATCACACGTCTTTTGAATGTTGTCCCTGATTATTCCTTCTTACGTAATTTTGGTTGTGCATGTTGGCCGAGTCTCCGCAAGTATAATGCTCATAAACTTGCCTTTCGTTCCACTTTATGTGTTTTTCTTGGGTATAGTTCTATGCATAAAGGGTACAAGTGCCTTGACAAACAAACAGGTCGTGTTTATATCTCTCGTGACGTAGTGTTTGACGAGTCTCGTTTTCCATTTGCCGCATCAGATGTTTCGTCCTCACCCTCCTCTAATGCTCGTGGTGCTTCTTTCCACAATCTGAACCTAGTACTGTGAATGATCACATGAATAGATATGACCTGTCACTTTTACTTGATAATTTGTCTCATGTAGCTGCAGCTCCTGTACAAACTGGTTCGACTTTCACCAGCAGCTCACCTGCCATTCCGAGGATATCTCCACCATTATCAACGCTTCCTGTTACGCCACCTACGGTTCCCACTGTGGCCTCGGCTCCACCGGTCATTCCCAACGAACCAGAACCAACATCTCCGGCTCCTGCTCCGGCTTCACCTGCTCCATCTCCTGTTTCTACTGTACCCTTGCATCGTTCACCGCCCCCACAGCGGGTCACTCGCACCAAACAGGTTCTGTGCGACCAAAACAGTTTACGGATGGTACTATACTCTACAATCCTTCTAGTCGGGCTTTCTTTGCTGTTCCTACTTCTCACAAAGCTGCCCTTTCTGATCCTAAGTGGCGTTGTGCTATGGATGCCGAGTTTGATGCTCTTCATAAAAATCGCACTTGGGACTTGGTACC